AAACAATAAAAGGTGAATCAAATGGACCATTACGGCAAGGCTGGGATGGTCAATTTGGTAAAGTAAATCGGGCATCTTTCTTTGCCTTTAGACAACAATTCTGATGGCAAAAGAGCCAAACGGGACAGGCCAAAAAAAAGAAAAGAAAAAAAAAAGAAAAAAGAAATGGCTGAAATTGTCAGGATGCCTGGGTCGTCGACCCAGGGTTTTGAGTTTATTATATTATTTATGATTTCTAGTCTTTGGTTTCTTTGTTAAAGTTCTGTCTTATGGTTTATGTCTCTGAGCCTGCCCTGGTCCCACGTCTCTGTTCCCTCTGTTGTAGTGCCTGCCTGTGAGTCTGTGTCTGTAAGTTCAGTCTGTGTTATGTTTCCTGTTTTACTTTGAAAGTCCTTGTCTCGTGTAATTGCGTCTGGTTGTGCTTCCTTTGTGTCGTTAGGCCTGATTTGCCCCAGCTGTGTTTCCCTCCTGTTACTCATTCCCTGATTGCTCCCTCTTTGTATTTGAGCCCTGTGTTTCTCTGTGTCCGTGTTGTGATCTACTGTTTACTATGCTGTGTGCTTGCCTGAGTTTGGTTTTTGGAGTCTCAGTTTTGTTACCTTTTTTGAGTTCACGTCTGTCTCCGGAGTCTGCACTTTGGGTTCTTTTTCTGCCTGACCACAGCCGTCACATAACAGAAATGAAGCCCCAAACCATCACACTGTGTTTTACACGTGGTTGTACCTCAGAGAGAGGTACACCTAACTGTTGTACCTATTTGTTAAGGACATAACTGTTCATCTGGCATAGCATTCTTTTCAGGCCTGCCACTTCATCTTTTCTCTTCCATTTCTTCAGTCTCATCACATTTTCAGTACAAGCTACACACCATGTTGAGATGTGCCAAGTTTTTGGATAATAGCTTTTTGGGAATCACCTTGTTGTTACAAAAATACTATTTTATGCCTGTCAAACTGTGTTATCTTTGCCAATTTTTATAGATCCAACTAAAGAAATGGGAACAAATTATGTTTTTTTTTTTTTCCTGCAACAGGCTGCTAGTAACAAAGGACAGGACAGAATTTAAAATTGGTTTTCTGTTAAGTTGTCTGTTGTTTGTAGACACAACAATGGTTCAGCCTTAAGGTTAGGGGCTTTTTTGTGCTTGAAGGAATTCACTGGCCAGTCTTAAGTGATTTAACTAACAAAAAACATTTTGCTGAAAATTATCATGTACAAGGACTGGACTGAAAATGAGTGAAAAAACAGCCAGCCAAGAAAACTTTTGAAAGCCCTTCAGGCAGCATGGTGGCACAGAGGGATCATGGTGGCACCCCGATTAGCACAGTTGAGTCACAGCAAGAAGGTCCTGAGTTTGATTCCACCACCTGGCCTTTCTGTGTGGAGTTTGCATGTTCTCCCCATGTTTGCGTGGGTTCTCCCTGCATACTCTGGCTTCCTCCCACAGTCCAAAGACATGCAGTTAGTAGGGGTAGATTAACTGGTAATTCTAAATTGCCTGTAGGTGTGAATGGTTTACTTTCTCCAAGTTTTAGCCTTGTGACAGACTGGCAACCTGTCCAGGGTATACCCTGCCTCTCGCCTTATGGTAGCTTGGATAGGCTCCAGCCCCCCCGCGACCCTGACAAATATAAGCGGAAGAGAATGGATGGATGAAAACCTTAGAAAGGCCTTCAGAAAGCATCAAGAACTATGGCTCAAGACCACCTGAAAAACAAGAAAGTCTGGCTTTGAAGCAAAATATAACGAATGTTGACTCAGAACTTTTGCACAGTATCACAGATCTCAAATTCTTAAGCTTTTGATTTCACCCTCCAACTTTATAACAGCTAAAAATGTGTGTGTGTTTTATTTTAACACACCACATATATGACTGTGTGTGTTTGTGAATGGATTCTAAAACATGAGAAAGTCACTTACACTGTCATAACACACACATGTATAGGGCCTTGAGGGTGGGCACGTTAACGGCGTCCAGTGGACGGTCTGTGTACTCAAACCTACCTCTGGCGCTGGTGCCCACCTCCCAATTTTAAATCCATGTAGACATTGAGGGTTCTCGGGAGTGGCCGTGCTAACACCTGCTGCTCTCTGGCAGCAGCACCATGCTCTCCCTTGTTTTAAATGCACTTTAGAACAACACGCAGCAACACTACACATGAGCAGGAGGAGGCAGGTATGGGGTCTTCACACACCCCCGTTCTCTGCTAGGGCTGGGAGGAGATGTTAGCTGTCCAATTGGCCTCCCTGCTGCTGCGGAGCCTGGGATGGTCTGCTTGCCTCCACCCCGGGGGGAAGGGTAACATCTCTTGGGTCTGGGTTCTGTTTCCCCTTCTGGGGGCGAGGGTACCTGGACCCGGGGTATAGAGTATGTTTGGGGAGTGTGATTGTGTGTACATGTCCATTTATGTCAATCCT